GAAAATCAACTAGGCTCTTTATCATTCCAAGGAGCACCAAATGGGGGAATGCAAACATAGAAACATAGAATGTGACAGCAGATAAGAACCATCGGCCCATCTAGTCTGCCCAATTTTCTAAATACTTTAATTAGTTCCTGGCCTTATCTTATAGTTAGGATAGCATAATGCCTATCCCACGCATGCTTCAACTTCTTTACTTTGTTAACCTCTACCACTTTAGCTGAAAAGCTATTCCATGCATCCACTACCCTCTCAGTAAAGTAATACTTTCTGATATTATTTTTAAACCTTGGCACCTCTAATTTAAGACTATGTCCTCTTGTTGTGGTAGCTTTTTTTCTTTTAAATATAGTCTCCTCCTTTACTGTGTTGATTCTCTTCATGTATTTAAATGTTTCTATCATATCTCTCCTTTCTCGTCTTTACTCCTAGCCAGGGCTCGAGTCCTTTTTTCACAGCAGGAACGCCGTTCCCCCTGCAGGCACTCAGGTGGCGGCAAAAAATGCCGCCCCAAAATGCCCTGTGTTCCCCCTGTCATGGGGGGCCACCTGGCGAACGGCTCTCTCTCTGTCACACGCGGAGAGGGAGCTGTGTGCTCTCTGCTCCCTCTCGCCGCGCGGGATGTCTGCTTATAATGGGAGCCGGGTTGATGACGTCATATTCCGGCTCCCAGCATCAGCAGACATCCCGCGCGGCGAGAGGGAGCAGAGAGCACACAGCTCCCTCTCCGCGTGTGACAGGAAGAGAGCCGTCCTCACTGCAGCCCCACTGGACCCCAGGGAAAGGTAGGGATGCTGGGTGGGTGGGATATGTTAATTTTTTTATAATATTATTAAGTTGTATATATGTATGTCTGTGTGTGGATGTGTGGATGTCTGTATGTCTGTGTGTGGATGTCTGTGTGTGGATGTCTGTGTGTGGATGTCTGTTTGTGGATGTCTGTTTGTGTATGTGTGGATGTCTGTCTGTGGATGTGTGGATGTCTGTCTCTGGATGTCTGTTTGTGGATGTCTGTTTGTGGATGTGTGGATGTCTGTTTGTGGATGTCTGTTTGTGGATGTGTGGATGTCTGTTTGTGGATGTCTGTTTGTGGATGTCTGTTTGTGGATGTCTGTTTGTGGATTTGTGGATGTCTGTGGATGTGTGGATGTCTGTTTGTGGATGTGTGGATGTCTGTTTGTGGATGTGTGGATGTCTGTGGATGTCTGTTTGTGTATGTGTGGATGTCTGTGGATGTCTGTTTGTGTATGTGTGGATGTCTGTTTGTGGATGTGTGGATGTCTGTTTGTGGATGTCTGTTTGTGGGGATGTCTGTTTGTGTGGATGTCTGTGTGGATGTCTGTTTGTGGGGATGTCTGTTTGTGGGGATGTCTGTTTGTGGATGTGGGGATGTCTGTTTGTGGATGTGTGGATGTCTGTTTGTGGATGTGTAGATGTCTGTGTATTTGTGGATGTCTGTGGATTTGTGGATGTCTGTGGATGTGTGGATGTCTGTGGATTTGTGGATGTCTGTTTGTGGATGTGTGGATGTCTGTTTGTGGATTTGTGGATGTCTGTTTGTGGATGTGTGGATGTCTGTTTGTGGATGTCTGTGGATGTCTGTTTGTGGATGTCTGTTTGTGGATGTCTGTGGATGTCTGTTTGTGGATGTGTGGATGTCTGTGTGGATGTCTGTGTGGATGTGTGGATGTCTGTTTGTGGGGATGTCTGTTTGTGGGGATGTCTGTTTGTGGGGATGTCTGGATGTCTGTTTGTGGATGTGTAGATGTCTGTGTATTTGTGGATGTCTGTGGATTTGTGGATGTCTGTGGATGTGTAGATGTTTGTGGATGTCTGTTTGTGGATTTGTGGATGTGTGGATGTCTGTGGATTTGTGGATGTCTGTTTGTGGATTTGTGGATGTCTGTTTGTGGATGTCTGTTTGTGGATGTGTGGATGTCTGTCTGTGGATGTGTGTTTGTGGATGTGTGGATGTGTGGATGTGTGGATGTCTGTTTGTGGATGTGGATGTCTGTTTTTGGATGTGTGGATGTCTGTTTGTGGATGTCTGTTTGTGGATGTGTGGATGTCTGTTTGTGGATGTCTGTTTGTGGATGTGTGGATGTCTGTTTGTGGATGTCTGTTTGTGGATGTCTGTTTGTGGGTTTGTGGATGTGTGGATGTCTGTGGGTTTGTGGATGTGTGGATGTCTGTGGATGTGTGGATGTCTGTTTGTGGATGTCTGTTTGTGGATGTCTGTTTGTGGATGTCTGTTTGTGGATGTCTGTTTGTGTATGTGTGGATGTCTGTGGATGTGTGGATGTCTGTGGATGTGTAGATGTCGGTTTGTGGATGTCTGTTTGTGGATGTCTGTTTGTGGATGTCTGTTTGTGGATGTCTGTTTATGGATGTGTGGATGTCTGTTTGTGGATGTGTGGATGTCTGTTTGTGGATGTGTGGACGTCTGTTTGTGGATGTGTGGACGTCTGTTTGTGGATGTGTGGATGTCTGTTTGTGGATGTGTGGACGTCTGTTTGTGGACGTCTGGATGTGTGGATGTCTGTCTGTGGATGTCTGTCTGTGGATGTCTGTCTGTGGATGTCTGTCTGTGGATGTCTGTCTGTGGATGTCTGTTTGTCTCAGTGTGTGTAGGAGTGTATTTATGTCTGTTAGCGTTTGTACGTGTGTATGTGAGTGTATGTGCTTCTGTTAGTGTATGCATGTGTATGTTTGCAATTGCATGTATGTGCATACATTATTGTAAGTTTCTGTCAAATAAGTGAGAGTCTGTCATTTAGTGTGTGTGTGACTATTAGTGTGTGTCTCTCTGTCAATGAATGAGTGTGTGTCAGTGAATGTGTGTGTCAAATCAGTGATGTCTGTGTGTTTGTTATTGAATGTGTGTGTTACTTATAGTGTGTATCTGCCAGTGTGGGTGTCTGTCAGAGAGTGTGCTTAAAGGGACACTATAGGCACCCAGACTACTTCAGCTCCTTGAAGTGGTCTGGGTGCAGTATCCCAGTCCCCTTAAACCTTCTCAGAAACTGCAATAATTACCTGAGGAGTAACTCCAAGTCTAGTGGCTGTCTATCAGACAGCCACTAGAGGGACTTTCGGGTGGTTAGGTGACCAAAAGTCACCTAACTGATGCTGGACATCCTCACCCTGTGCATGAGGACATCCAGCATCTGCTAAATACCCATAGGATGTTAACCCCTTCAGTGTCGAGTGGGGGAGGGGAGGACATGAGAGGAGGGGGGCACTATATGGAATTATAGTGCCAGGAAAACAACTTTGTTTTCCTGGCACTATAGTATTTCTTTAAAAGGAGCAGGAAAAGGTGGTATCTAAAGAGGAAGGGGTGGGTTCTTAATCAGGAAGCGGTGCACCCTTGACATGAAGGAGTGGTAAATTTAGATTAGGGGGGTGCTCTATAGTCATGTCTAGGGCAGCATAAAATTAAAATACACCACTGTGTGAGTGTGTGTGCACGCGTGTGTATGTATGTATGTATGTATGTATGTATGTATATATATATATACACATACATACATACATATATATACACATACATACAAGTGTTTTTTTTTTTTTTTGGGAGAGTTCCCACACTTTTTTCCCCAGGACTTGACCCCTGCTCCTAGCTATAGATGTTAAGATCCTCTAACCTTTCCTTGGAAGTTTTATCCTGTAATCCATGCAGCTTCCATTGCAGCAATACGCATATGGCTTTCACAAATTATTACTTAGTTCCTCTCTTCTCAGGGGCTCAAAGATACGACTTTCATCAGGCCTTATTGGACAAGGGCTATGACAAATACTAGGGCAACTTCTATTGCAATGTCTCTACCGAGGATATCAGCAGGGAAGCTACTTGGGAATCTGACTCTACATTTGCCGACCACTAGTGATTAGATGTTCATAAGAGTCAGGATGTTATATTTGGTGTTTTATCTTCTGTCTCATCTTGATGAAGTTCTCTATTAAAATAGTTTTTTTGCAGTACTTTAGTCTCCCTCCCTTCTTGCTTACGTATTCCCCATTTGTGATGATGCCATGTTGACCAAGAAACATGAAAATTCTCACCTATACTTACGGATTTTTCTTTTCCTGGCCATTTCAACGGCAGCATTACTCACTCACCCTTCTTGGAGGCTTGATAATCAGACTGAAGTCTCTTGGAAGGGGTAGATATTTATTAAAATCACTTAATTCAAATTTATTCCTGTTTATTAGTTTTTTTTTAAACTCAAAATATTTACCACATGCACAGGTGAAGTAAAAAAAAATGATTATATGGATACAGTTGTAGGCAGCAAGTGAACAGTCAGTTCCTGAATTTCATGTTTTGGAAGCAGGAAAAAATGGGCAAATGAAAAGATCTGAGTGGCTTTGGCAAGATCAAATATAATGGCTAGACTGGGTCAGTACATCTCCAAAACGGCAAGTCTTGTGAGGTGTTCCTGGTATGCAACGGTAAGTACCTATCAATAGTGGTGCAAAGAAGGACAACCGGTGAACCTGTGTCAAGGTCAAGGGTGCCCAAAGCTCATTACTGCATGTGGGATAGAAGGATAGAACAAGTCTCTCTCCCTTGGAATCTAAGAAGATGGGTAATGCAGGAGTGCGAGGAGGCTGACATTTCTGTATCTCAGGCTGCCACTCTGATTATATTAATAAGATGCCTAGCATCATTTCTGGTAATGAAAGATCTACATATGTGAACTCGTTCCTGCACTTTTTGGTGTCGCAGGAGTGATGTGGATCAATCAGAGATACCTCAGTATTTAAATAAAGTTTAGAAACATAGAAACATAGAATGTGACGGTAGATAAGAACCATTCGGCCCATCTAGTCTGCCCAATTTTCTAAATACTTT